GTTCTCGCAGTAGTACTTTGTGACGCCGGATGCCGTTGTTTTGGTCGGGCGGCTGGCGGGTGACTGCGGCGCCGGAGACGTGGCCGGTTTTGGCGTGGCCGGATGTGTTCATCTGTATTCGTCGGCCATGACCAGGCACTCATCCCATGTGAGGGAGCGATTGGCTGTTGCCTGTGCGTGGAGTTGGGCGTGGAGCCCGCCGGTGGTGATGGACAGGAGTTGTCCAATGAGAGCCCGCGTGATTGCGGTTTCGTGCTGCCCAACCTCGTTGGCTGGTAGGGCAAGGTATCTGAGGTATTCATTGCGCAAGCATGGCCTGAACTGCGAGATGTGGTGATGGACAGGAGTTGTCCAATGAGAGCCCGCGTGATTGCGGTTTCGTGCTGCCCAACCTCGTTGGCTGGTAGGGCAAGGTATCTGAGGTATTCATTGCGCAAGCATGGCCTGAACTGCGAGAAGAGTTTGTTGGGCGCTGGGCGGAACTGCTGGAACCTGGTAAAATGTTCAAATGGTGAGAGTCCAAACCTGGCTTTGAGTTTGTCCACGATCACGTCGTAGTCCTCGAATCCTTGGTTGTAGAGCAGTTGGGTTGCCTCTGCCACCTTTGGTTGGGAATGCTCGATGAGGCAGTCGACTTTTGTGAAGTTTGGCGTTCCATCATGTTTGAAGGCGGTCTCCAGGCGGTGTAGATACATTTCGATACTTTTGTTCGGGGATTGATGCGGGTAGTCGACGCGTCTGCCCAATAGTGATCGCGCTAGCAGTTCCGTGGACCCCGGTCCCATCTGATAGTCAGGTGGCGAGCTCAAGATGATGTTGAGTGGCGTTGCACCTCTGGCCTGAAGCGCGATGATGAGTTTGTTGTGTGGTACTTCGTTGGCGTTTGGTATGCCGTTTGCTATCGCGTACGTACGTATGGCATTCAGCATCAGGAAATTCCATTGGTTGGCTGTCGCCCATTGTTGCGATGACGCTACCGGCTGCGGCGACGCGTTCGTGTTGGATGGCCCTGGTTGGGGCTCGGTTTTGGTGCGGTCACTGTTCATTGCAGGTTGTTGTTGATCGGCTGAGCCCCCAGTAAGATTTCTCCTCAGTAACTACAAGTCCACACTGGATGAAGGTAGACTCGGGAATGACTAGACACCAATATTTGAATACTGACGGTCTATTCACATAAGTACACTTTCGCACACAAATCAGAGATCCGCACACTTTCGAGGTTCACGGTAGAATGAGGCTTGGCTTGCCTCTTGCTATACAAGATGGCAGGCTGCTGGCGCGCGGGCCATTGCGCCGGCATACCCTGATTGGGTATGAGGTCAGAACGAAGCTTGTGTCGAATACGCGTAATTCTTGTCGCGCGGGACTAATGGCCGCTGGCCGTTACTATATGTTCTACTTCAAAAAATGTCTGACACCAAAGTTGAAAACCATCACGTCGAATTATATCATGCTGAAAACATCGAAAACAGTGAAAAAATAATTTTGAAGCAAAAATTCTGCTATGGTCCAGGACGTTTTAAATTTAACTTATGCACAACTTTGAGGTGGATCTAGTGTGAATCTGCCGTTTAAAAAGAAACTGGTTCCGGGAAGAAACGCCTTTTTGAATATTTTCCGTGCTTGAGAATGTGGGCATGAAACCAATTCATCTGATATGCCCACGATTCTCGCGGCAAACTCTAAAAATTAAAAAAAAATTAAATAAACTTGATGCTGTGTTTTCCAGTGAAAAGAAGCAAAATGTGCTATTTTTGATGAAGTGAAAAGATATGCCAATCCACAAAACGCAGAGTGAAAGAGGCTGAAGTTTTGCAGGGAAGGGATAAAAATAAATAAGAAGCGGACTCGCTGATTGATTAAAACTGTCGAGTCGACAGCTACGGCGACGCCCGCGAATTTCAGGGCTCCACATGTGCCACTGTCACACATGAAGGCTGAAAAGGAACGCATTTATCTCCTCGACGACGACAGGGAAGACGACGAACGACGTTTTTTCAGCATGCGTCCGGGCTGTGTGACACCAGCAACCGCCCATCCTTCTCATTTTTATTTGATTTTCTTCAAATAAATAAATCTGCGCCCAAATTTTCTACTGTGAAAGATGTGTTTTTTGTATCCTAGCTTTCCAAGAAAAACATACACACCGCAATAATTCTTCAAATGCAGATGAAATATCTTCTTAGCCTGCTGAGCCTATTTTATTGGAAGGATTTGTTCATCTCATCATCACCTCTGCCATTCAACTTCAACTCTTTGTGCAGTTTTTAGCACTGAACTTTGAGATTTAGTTGCAAAAACTAATGGCGAATCAGCTAAGACTAGAAAATTCTGAAAGAAATACCTTCCAAGCATCAATTCAGATATATAAACTACATTATGAATCAGCATTCAAAAAATGCAATGAGATCCAGATTGATCTACTGATTTACTTTGGTTATTTTTTGCGACTTTTGATTTTGACCATAGTTGATTGTGAATTGTTTCGGATGCACTGGAACTTATGATAAATAATGGATGAAAATCAACTTTGAAGAATGGCAAGAAACTTTGTATAAATCGCATATTGAATATAGACAAATCTGACAAAGACATGGGTGTTTCAAGAACATTGCTCATTATGCTCGTATTTTTTTATCATCTGGCCACATATTCGCACCCAAGAGCAGAAATACAAGGTCACTGATGCTTCATAATGCCAGTAATGGCAAGTTTTCGCAACAAGAATCATCAAATGGGATCTTCATAAGAAACCTTGAATATTTTCGAAAGAATCCTGATGAAATTTGAAAACCGTTGTGGATATATAGTCTGAGCATCCGTATCAGTTCTGCACACTTCCCACGAGAAAAAAATAATCATGGAAAATTTATTTTCTCTGGGAATGGATTTACGTGTTTTATTTTTCGGAATTTTCTATCACATGCTTCCTAAAATCAAAACTTTCATCTTAATCGAGGACCACCAACACTCGCAAAACTCCTTGGGCTTCGTTGGTGGTAAAAATGCCTGAACTGGAAAGTTCGCGCATTTCGGAACGCCTTTGTCGAGCAGTGGACTGTCTCGGGGGAAATTTTCAATTTGAAATTCCAAAGTGAATATAAAAAAAATCTAAAATATGTCCAGTGATTCGAATTTGAAGAAGACGGAAATCAGCATAAGCCTTCAAAATGAAAAAATAGTGTCTGGGGTGTTTCTTGACTCCGAGATTTTTTTTTTTATAGATAAGCATTTCTTTCAAAATTTAACTAACCGATGAGAATTAGCATACGGTCATCAGCAGCTATAATTGAATTATTATCATGCATAAAAAGAAGATAGTATTCATAGAAAACTTTTGCTTTTATCGCAGGTGTGCTTTTATCATGCTGTTGACAATTTTACCCGCGTGTCGACATTGGGTTTTCATCGCCGTCGCTCTAACCATCCTCATCGTCACTGACAACAATCCGCAAACACGATTTGCAGAAGCAACAGGGAAACTGTTCGAGTTTCCAGAACCGCCTCCACAGGCTCTGGATGACCCAAATTTCAGGCAAATTGTCGGTGAACCCGTGCTTCTCACAGACTATATTTCAAGGGGTCAAATCGACGAGGGTCGACGCGCTAGTGCAGTTGTGATCAACGAGACCGTAATTCCTGAATTGGCAGTCTTCAATAATCAGGGCAGGGTCACGTTCACCGGCTTTCTCACTGTCAACAAGGATTGCGATTCCAACCTCTTCTTCTGGTNTTTTTATTTGATTTTCTTCAAATAAATAAATCTGCGCCCAAATTTTCTACTGTGAAAGATGTGTTTTTTGTATCCTAGCTTTCCAAGAAAAACATACACACCGCAATAATTCTTCAAATGCAGATGAAATATCTTCTTAGCCTGCTGAGCCTATTTTATTGGAAGGATTTGTTCATCTCATCATCACCTCTGCCATTCAACTTCAACTCTTTGTGCAGTTTTTAGCACTGAACTTTGAGATTTAGTTGCAAAAACTAATGGCGAATCAGCTAAGACTAGAAAATTCTGAAAGAAATACCTTCCAAGCATCAATTCAGATATATAAACTACATTATGAATCAGCATTCAAAAAATGCAATGAGATCCAGATTGATCTACTGATTTACTTTGGTTATTTTTTGCGACTTTTGATTTTGACCATAGTTGATTGTGAATTGTTTCGGATGCACTGGAACTTATGATAAATAATGGATGAAAATCAACTTTGAAGAATGGCAAGAAACTTTGTATAAATCGCATATTGAATATAGACAAATCTGACAAAGACATGGGTGTTTCAAGAACATTGCTCATTATGCTCGTATTTTTTTATCATCTGGCCACATATTCGCACCCAAGAGCAGAAATACAAGGTCACTGATGCTTCATAATGCCAGTAATGGCAAGTTTTCGCAACAAGAATCATCAAATGGGATCTTCATAAGAAACCTTGAATATTTTCGAAAGAATCCTGATGAAATTTGAAAACCGTTGTGGATATATAGTCTGAGCATCCGTATCAGTTCTGCACACTTCCCACGAGAAAAAAATAATCATGGAAAATTTATTTTCTCTGGGAATGGATTTACGTGTTTTATTTTTCGGAATTTTCTATCACATGCTTCCTAAAATCAAAACTTTCATCTTAATCGAGGACCACCAACACTCGCAAAACTCCTTGGGCTTCGTTGGTGGTAAAAATGCCTGAACTGGAAAGTTCGCGCATTTCGGAACGCCTTTGTCGAGCAGTGGACTGTCTCGGGGGAAATTTTCAATTTGAAATTCCAAAGTGAATATAAAAAAAATCTAAAATATGTCCAGTGATTCGAATTTGAAGAAGACGGAAATCAGCATAAGCCTTCAAAATGAAAAAATAGTGTCTGGGGTGTTTCTTGACTCCGAGATTTTTTTTTTTATAGATAAGCATTTCTTTCAAAATTTAACTAACCGATGAGAATTAGCATACGGTCATCAGCAGCTATAATTGAATTATTATCATGCATAAAAAGAAGATAGTATTCATAGAAAACTTTTGCTTTTATCGCAGGTGTGCTTTTATCATGCTGTTGACAATTTTACCCGCGTGTCGACATTGGGTTTTCATCGCCGTCGCTCTAACCATCCTCATCGTCACTGACAACAATCCGCAAACACGATTTGCAGAAGCAACAGGGAAACTGTTCGAGTTTCCAGAACCGCCTCCACAGGCTCTGGATGACCCAAATTTCAGGCAAATTGTCGGTGAACCCGTGCTTCTCACAGACTATATTTCAAGGGGTCAAATCGACGAGGGTCGACGCGCTAGTGCAGTTGTGATCAACGAGACCGTAATTCCTGAATTGGCAGTCTTCAATAATCAGGGCAGGGTCACGTTCACCGGCTTTCTCACTGTCAACAAGGATTGCGATTCCAACCTCTTCTTCTGGTTTGTGCCTGCCAAGGTAATTTTTTTGCAAATTTCTTTTATCAATCAATCATACTGTACATTTTGAAATAATTAGAGCTTTTGAAAATCTCCAGTCAAAGAGATTAAAAAATATTACTAAAATATATCTCAAATGATGCACTGTACTAAAAATATCTATAAACAAAAATATATCCAAAAATATACCTAAAAAACGTTTAAAAAAAACGCACAAAAAGTCAAGACGTGGCCGAAATATTTTCATATGGAATAAAAAAAAACAGACAGAATCCAGGCGGACTTTCTCCAACCACGATTTTTATTACTGTGAACCAATGTTTTAGATGAAAGGGAGTAAATCTCGTGATTCTGGAAGATGGTGCCAGACTTTCTAATAATGATGTTGGTACACAGTACTTGCAAGTGTCAGTCTGGTACTTGGGGCTAAAGCATGTTTCCGGATGAATGGAGATCAAAATGGAATTTACAGAGATGTATGTCATATTTCCTTGATCAGTGCTTACCCAGGTTGGAATGGTAGGGATAAATAGCAGAGATGGAAAAACATTCCTTCCATTTAATGACATTTTCTTTTAGTAATATTTTCAAGCAAATTCCGAACGAAGAATAAATACATTTTTTCCGGGGCTTGTTTTGGATGAGAAGTGTGAAATGTTAAGACGTGTGGTTGCACAACAGCAATATTTTGAAATTCACTGAGAAAACGAATGCTTTTTCAAAAACATTTAGTTGAATGAGAAAATATATTGGTAAAATAAGTTTATTTTATTGGTTTCGAAGGAAGGGCCAGAAAGTGCCCCATTAGTCCTGTGGCTTCAAGGCGGCCCTGGAGGGTCTTCCCTTTTCGGGCTCTTTGTAGAAAATGGGCCCTGGATCCTGGACTCGAATCTGAATCTAGCCTTCAGGTACTACGACTGGACCCGAACCCATTCCATCATCTACGTGGACAGTCCAGTGGGTACCGGGTTCAGCTACACCAATGGAGAGCAGTGTTATGCTAAGAATCAAGAGGATGTGGCCAGAGATCTGAGTACATTCTTGTCTCAATTCTTCCTGGTCTTTCCCGAGTTCAGCAATCAGCAATTTTACATTTTTGGGGAGTCTTCTGGTGGCAAAAGTGCGGCAGTTTTGGCTCACAAGATCACCGCTGGGAATTCCAATAATTTGGGTGGCTCTTTGACCAAAACTGGAGAGGTTGACATGTCAATCTCTATTTCCAAGTGAGTACATTCCATGCTTGGTTTGAATGGCTTTTTTTCCTGCCAAATTTAACAAAATTATTTTTGGTTGCCCAAGTTTTGGAGTTAGAATCCTTAAAATCACCGTACGTAGAATGAATAGTAACAGACCTCAATAAGATGCATCTATTAAAAAGTCAAACCATGTGAAGGCGGCCCCTGATGATAAAGCCGCCATCCCCGGCAACTGCCAATTTATTTGGAAAAGAATATTTTTCATAATTATAAAAGCATCATTGGAAACCCCGCTAAAACACAATAAAATTGTTGACACCGCGAGTGTCCTCCCTGCCAAATAATTTTGTCTGATAGTCAGCCAACATGATTCAATTTTCTGCAAGACGTCTCCAATTAAAAAAATTGCAAATATGGCATAATTTACTTCTAGTTTAAAAATTGGCTAAATATACTGTACGCATTGAAGGGATATATTTTGTTCGTTTTCTGGAAAAAAAGAATTTGTTCCTATTATACTTCATTTTCATACTACTGTATTTCAGCTTTTTTCACCTCCAAACCCTCATAAATTGCCAAACCAAGCATTAAATCGCCACCAAATCTAACATACAAAATGATGGCGGCTTATTCGACTGCATCCAAAGTGTTTTTTAGCTTTCAAACTGACGGGAAAAATCATAATATATGGAAATGAAAATATCATTTTTGCGCAGTGATAATTGATGTCCTTTTAAATATCTCGTTTCCTTTGCATTTCGAACTCGGTGAGCAAAGATTGGAGGAGTGATTCCTGGGAAATGAGTGTTTTGTCAGTAAAATTTCCGTTAGTCACCAAATCCCCATCCAGAATTTCTCAAACGAAGGAATATTACTTGTAAGCCTGATGAAACTTATGAGCCATTGTTCAATATCTTGAATCATACTTCAAATTTTTTAAGGTCACCTAAAAATTTTGAAATTTGAATTTTTTTGTTTATTCATTGACAGGAAAATAAACCTGGCAGGTGTCGCCATTGGGAACTCACTTTGTGACCCGTTTTCCATGTCACACTGGGGCAACTTTTTGTATGGCATCGGTCTGATCGGGTCTCAAGACCAAGAATATTTCTCGAAGATCTCGAATGCGATTCGAGATAAAATCCGCGAAAACAAGTACACCATAGCATCTGAGGTAAAAAAAACATAAATCTTGCCAAAGTCAGTATGGGCAGGAATTACTGGGGGAAATGTTATTTTTATTTCAACCAGCTGATTGACAATCTGATCACGGGTTTGCTGACCCCGGACCACGCAACTTATTTCGGGAAAGTCACCGGCGCTGAGTATTATTTCAACTTTTTGTGGTACGACACTCCGCCAGATTTTGCGTATTATTCGAAATTTCTGGACTTGCCTCATGTGAGGAGAGCGATTCATGTTGGACACAAGGTTTTCCAAAATTCAACGAAAGTTCAGCAGAATTTATTGGAGGATTTGTCCCAGTCTGTGCATCGCTACATCGAGTCTGTGCTGGACTCTGGGGTCAAGGTATCACCTTTTGTTTATAGTTGCCTCTATAAAAAAAAGTTGGGCCCAATTGATTTTTTCTCAGAATAAATTACACACAGTTTTACCACCCCTAGTTTGTTCAGAAATTTCGATCTTGCCATGAAATATAACCCTACGCAATTTTTTAAATAATCATCTGACGTGAACTAAACTCGAATGTATCTGAGCCTCTAAATTTGAATATTTTTCTTGGTGAGAAATACATACTTGTATATTGCAGTGATTTGACTTTGTTCTTCACTAATATTACGCTTGAATTGTGCAGGCATCGGGCATCAATTGTTTATTTTTTGTGCGATTTTTCATATTTTGTCGACGTAACTACTGTAATTGGAAAAGTTTCCCTCAAAGTTTTGGAATCCCGCGGAAATCCTACTTTCAATCCGAAGTAGGATATTTCCTACTTTGTCAATTCGAAGGTTCATCAGTTTCTGTCTTTTTTTCACATTTGAGTTGAGCTATTTTGTATCACTGTAATAAAATTGGAAGGATGAAATTCTACAAGAGCGGGGACATGCATTGAATTTATAGCAATTGCTTGATACTGTGCTTCATCGCGATATAACAGCAACAACAACAAAAATTATATACAGCATTTATCCCTTCCAATGTATCTAGATGCTGTTTTACAATGGACAGCTGGACATAACAGCAGCATTTGAACTGACGCAATATTTCATCCACAAATTGCATTGGCGCTACGATGCGGGTTTTCAAGCTGCCCCGAGAGACAAGTGGAAAAATGGCACGGAAATTTCCGGTTATATCCAGAGACACCGGAATTTGGCACTCGCTCTTGTGCTGAATGCGGGACACATGGTGGCTTACGACCAGCCCAGCAGAGCTTTCGACCTCCTGATGCTTTTCACGAAAGGAAGAATCATCTAGAAACTGAAATCAGTCCGAGTGAAATATATCATATTCTTTAAAATAAAAATTCTCAAAGAACTCAATGAGTTTATTCGATTTTTTGGAATTTGAAAGTCAGAAAAAAAAGTTGCTGCATGTTTCTTTTATTTGTCAATCATTGCAGATTTTAAGCTGCATTAAAAACATTCCAGATGCAAGATACATCTGAGTGCTGAGGCAGTTACCCAGCCTCCAAGGGAATTTAATTTTAAAAGTACAAAACAACATTATGGCTGCAGAAAAATAAGAGAAGCTGGAGTATCCTCACTCCTTGGATGTTGAAAGAGGACTCTTATTGTTGTCTCTGATCTAAGGTTTCATGAAGACAACAATCACACACACAATCAGCAAATACAATCTTGCATTGCACAATAAAAATCCACTTCCAAAAAGAAAAATGAAATCAGCAAGAAAAGATGCTTTGCATATGGCGCAATTCCCAACACTCAAACTTCTGAAGCAAATAACTCCACAAATTTTACATTTAGAAAATTTAGACATTACAACATCTTAAATCAAAGCCAAAGATGTTCTTCAACTTTTCTTGTATATTATAAAAATTGACCCAATCAACAGATCTTGCAATATTCTCACTTTTCTAAACCTAACTTTCCTTTGGTGATAAGAATCTGGAAAACCTTCATGCCAGATTGTTATCTTACTGATGCACAAGCTTTTGGTGCAAACAGTGACTTCAATAGCCTTGTTTCTAAATGCTGATGAATGAATTTATTTCTGCAACAGTCAAAGTAAGCTTTAAAAAAATTTGCAGTTGACAGCAATTATATGTCAGATTTTCTCCTTATAATCCAGAACAGAGCTGATGTTCGAAAAATATCCGGATGCGCGCATAAACAAAGGAATAGAATAGTTTCGAGAATGTTTACTAACCTCGAATGGAATGTCGGAGGTGGATGAAATATTTAATAATTTGCGGCTATTCAGGAAACCAACAGACCAAATGAATGAACCACAAGAACTGCTGCACGTATCCAAAGCGATTAGCGACCGCTGGAAAACACATCATACTCACCACGAAAAATAACGTTCTTCTCCACCAGACGCTACTTTATGACTTTTTTGCTCTGAAAAGCTTCAGCTTCTTTTTCCTAGGTTTTCAGAAAAGGGTTCTAAATTAACTGGGAAGATTTCGGATTTTTTTTTATATTTTTTTAGCAATTGGAAGAGATTCATCCCAGAGATGAGACATAATCATGGTCGTACCTTCTACATCAGCGACTCAATTATGAGTTCATGTTATGATTCATATGTTATAATTTATATTTATTCTCTGATGTAAAATTCAATCACTCTTTTTTGCCTGAAAATCCCAAGTTTAGTCAATACAGGTAGAATCACGGTAAATCGTGATGGCGCAAACAAGTTTCATCGACTCCGTTTTTCAGATTAAATTGAGTAGAGGTTTGGTTTTTTTTTAAATTAATTGAAAGAGGTTGAATGAAATTCACGACAATATTGTACTTTCATTTGCATGTATCCGAATTAAAGGAGTTCTCCAATAACTATATTCAAGACTAATCTGTAATTATGGTCGTACCTTATACATCAGCAACTCAACTATGAGCTCATGTTCATCATATTCAATGATATGGTACTTCAGTACTTCAAAATTATCCGAGATAGTGTATATACCAACCCTGACAAATGGACAATTTGACTTAGAAAGAAATCCTATTATCCACTAAAAACTGAAAAGTCTGCCCGACATCCGGACAATGTCTTGAAATCAGGGCACTTATTTTCCAACATTTCCTAAAAATTCAGAAATCGTGGTTTTCTAAATGATGATAACTCTGCAACAAATTGAGCTATTCCTATTTGAAAAATATAAATAGATTGTATTATAAAATAACTCTAATTCATATTTTTTAAATGGTCTAATGTGTGCGTATTTCTTCAAATTTTCATTGGTAATGTGTGCAAAGTATAACTAGGCTTATTCTTGTTCTTTGCTTCTTGTACTATTCTTGATGCCAAAAAAATTAAATTATGCCCTGTTTTGTTCTGTATAGCCTTGAAGTTGAGAAAAAATAATCTTAAATTTTACGGGACTTTATTCCTAATTTTTTGATGAACAGGAGAACCAATTGAATGTGTTCCGATTGAATTCCGTAGCGAACTATGATTTTAAATGTGGATGCCCCAACATAGGGACAAGGTCAAAGCACCGATTGTGTCCGCATCTCGGGGCCCCATTGTACATTCAAGAATGTGCAATGTAGTACAACTATACAGACGTCGTCGAAATGCAATTAAGTAGTGGGTGAAAAACTGATAATTGCTGTTGACATTGACAGAAACAAAAAACAAACACTAAGGGATTATTGGCGACACACCGCGAATTCCTCGCACCTGGGTAATATAGCGGTCTGGTGAGCAAAGCGCTGTGGGAAAAAACTTCACGCTCAGCTTCCTTGAAGAACATTTTTCCGACTTCGCCCCGATTATTTTGATGTGAAGGGCGCCCTTTTATCACACACAAGCACACAATCATTCTCAGCAAAGAACAAAACCAACGGATTCCGCTAAACATTTCCTTCAAGACCAGAAGTCTTTTTTTTTCACCTTCCTTTGGTTGCCTATTTATGTTTCAATAAGTTCGCACGCAGGGGGGAAAAACACTGTTGAACACGCCCAACTGTGAAGAATTTGTCTAAACATCCCTACTAATTTATTCTTGGATCTTTGGGCCAGGGAAAGCTTATATAGTCAATCCATCTGGCATCAGAGGGAAGCTTCAAAATATTTAGATAATCTAAAATGGAGGGGCTGAATTTGAGCCTCCAGGAGATCCATATTA